AACTATTTTTAACAAAGTATTCAAGCAAGAGTTGCTAGATGACTATTTTCTAACAAAAAATTCAAGCCTTTTTAAGTATTCAAGCAAGAAGCTATCGAAAATACACTCATTTTCCTCATAGCCGACTAATACCTGGAAAAACTTCCTCGCACTTAATACGGAGAACAAAAATCTAAAAAACTTAGTAAGTTGAAAAGCGTAGGACCTTTGGCGCATCCGGTTCGATAAGCTCACACTGTACTGTCAAAGAGCTTAATTTTCCGTTGAAAAGCGGTGGACGTTGAATTCCGAATACCCGATATCCTGGCTTACAAACCATCGAAACATCAATTTGTTGATCAATAGCACCGCTGATGCAGTTCAGCGTAATGATGATGGCATGGAAGAAGAGCAGTGACCAGTGGCGACTACGCATCATCTCACTCCACCACGGACATCTTTATTCTTGATCCAACCAGCTGATATTATCCATCGTACTCCCGGACGCACAGCAAATCCCCCCGTACTCGATCATTTCTCAACTTGTTGGTTTTCTTGCTTTTGAACAGCTGTCACTAAACACATTCGCTCCCTTTCCATACTCCATTCGAATTCTGTTTCAAGCGCTGAAAAAATGAGGACAGTTTGCATTTGCTGTCATAGGCGAAGCCCTTTTTCGAAAATTGTTCTGGATCGACAATGTGTCGAACCACTCTCATTCACATCCGGACGCAATGTTTTACCACTACACCATTGGTCCAAGTACTCCATGTTTAGCCTGGCAACACATCTACTGTGCATCTGCATTTCAAAGCAAGGTATACCTTTCTTTTCTTTTTCTTTGTGGCAGCCTTCTTCATTGGCTTGTTGTAGGTTTTCTGCGACGATTGCAGTAAGATACTGCGGTAACTCTGACCTTTGTGATGATTCGAATTTTTGATTCAGCTTTGGGTAAAATAAAGGTCTACTGTGTCCGCAGATTCCTGAAATACAAAAAAAGGCAATGTCTCTGGAACAAATAATGCATTTTTTTACAGAAATTACAGTTTATGGTGAAAA